GAATTTATCAGTAAATATTAAGAATCAGACATAACCCTATTTTAACTAAATTAACTTTCATATAATAGCATAAACAAAAGATACCACAAAACATGATACCCTAATGATTTAGAATCTGAAAATGACCCTGCTCCTAACTCCCCACTCTTGAGGTCCCACCGTTTTCTCCCTTTAAATCATTTGTTATTTCCTCTAGGTATTTTAGAGCTTGAGAACAGTCAAATTTGGTCTTAATTAATTTTTATTCTCATCGAATAGTCACATGGCCTTTCCTATTTCACAACCACATGGTTGCAGAGTGGAAATGACTGTTGTTAATCTTGGCAGTGTAGTTCAGTGGGAAAAGTATGGGTATTGGCGTGAGATGTTGAATATTGTTTGTTACTCATAGACTGGTGAGTTCTGAAACCACTAGATTATTTTATTCCAGGTTTTATAAATAGTAGAATGTCAGTAAAGTAGCAATAGCAATGTCCAACATTTACTATTTTATGGCAGCCAGGCAATTATCTGTAATGCCTTCATATGTCTGTTTTAATGTTCTCAGTCCCTAGAGAATGGAGTCTCAGAAAGACCCAGTTGGGGAGCCTGAGGAGCAGGTTGCTGCCCAGCAGGTCTGGCTGCTGATGTGTAGGTTGATCGGCCCAGTCTGAAAATAGCTTGTCAGCTTCTGGGTTTTTCAGATTAGGAGTCTCTGAATATCTGAGAGTCTGGAAAGCATTGGACAAGGCCCACCTGCACAGACACTGTACTTGCCTGCTCTTTCTCTTTGATCGTCACTTCCTCTCCAGGATCCTCTGTGTTATTTGGAGGCCTTTCCTTCTTTCCTTCACCCTTCACACTCATTCTATTGCTTATAGATCTAGAGGTAATAAAAAAGCTACAGTGATTATGAAGTTAAGTAGAGTCCACATAAGACATTGTTTCTATTAAGTTGTGAATTCTAATCCATAGCATTGACGTTTACCTAACTTCAGCAATATAATTTGATTTTTCTTTTCTTTCCTTAAAATTCCTCCCTGATCTGGGTCACTTTTTAAAAAAAATGCTTTTGCCCACATGTATGTGCGTGTACCACAAGTGTGCCTATGCATACACAGACCAGAGTAGTGTGTCCTCTAAGTTGCACACATTTGTGAGCTGACTTGTGGGTACTGGGAATTGAACCCAGGTCCTCTGCAAGAGCAGCCAGAGCTCTTAACCACTGATCATCTCTCCAGCCCCATCTTCAGTCTTAACACTAGTTTTTAACTTTTTCTCTCTAGTTAAGACAAAAACTAAAGTCAGTGAAGTTTCCTCATTTGGCCCAGGTTTGTCTTTGCTTTACTGTTGCTGCACTGCATATGCTACCAAGCACGCAGTTGCATTGAGGTTTCCTCAGCTCTGCCTTGAGTACTTGTTGGCTAATGTTTGCAGCATTGATCTTTTCACAGAGAAGTTAGTTTGCCTGTCTTCACCCACCTTGCTTGGTGCTGCTTGGATCGGGGCGTAGACTGCACTGACCTGTGTGTGCCCATTGCCAGCTTAGCCTGTGCCTATGGTGGTTGCTCAGGGAACATTTCTTCCTTAAGTGTTCTGTGGTTGCTCTTCTCACTTTATTCTTCACTCTGGACTCTCTTAACTTTTCTTAGACTTCTAGCTGCATCTTCCACCTTTACCAGATGTGGAATGTTAGAGTTTACCACTAGGTCCATGTCACCGCTCTCGAGGCAATGGGACATGTTTCTCCATAGAGGCATGTAAAAGATAGTCTTTCTTGTCTTTGTTGGTTGGTCGGTTTTTTGAGACGGGGTCTCTCTGTGTAGCCCTGGCTGTCCTTGAACTGGCTCTGCAGATGAGGCTGACCTCCAGCTCATAGAGATCTGCCTGCCTTTGTATTGTGTGATTAAAGATGTGTACCACCAACTCATGGCAGGAAGTCTTAGATTAAATACAATAATAATTGAAGCTGTGCCAAGTACAGGACATTATATTTTTTATGTCATTGTATCATTATAAAGTATATTTTTAAATGGTCATTTAGTTCTTTTTCTTTCCTGGTTATTTAAAGTATTTTTTGCCTTACTTCACTATGAATTCATATTTTAAGCTTTTGAAACAAATATGGATTTTAATTTTTATTACGAAGGTCATTTGTTGGCTAGTTTTAGGTCAGTTTGATACAAGCTAGAGTCATCTAAAAAGACGGAACCTCAATTGAGAACATGCTTTCTGTGTTGAGTGTTAGTGGACACCTTTAATCCTAGCACTCGGGAGGCAGAGGCAAATGACTCTTTTGAGTTTGAGGCCACCCTGGTCTACAGAGTTAGTTTCAGGATGGCTAGGGCTACACAGAAAAACTCTGTCTCAAAACCGGAAAAGAAAAGAAAAGACCTCTGTAAGATTTGCTTGTAGAACATTGGTAGTTTCTGGGGTCAGAGATCCAAATGCTAAATTTCAGGTCAAGCAAGTACCAAGTGCCCATAGAGGTCTGTTGCTCTGAGGGCTTCTGGGAAGAGTGTGAGGAAGTCTGCTGTATAGCTCATAATCTTAATTTTCTTAATTAGAGTCTAACCCATCGTAGATAGTGTTATTCCCTGGGCTGGTGGTCCTAAATTCTGTAAGAAAGCAGTCTGAGCAAGCCATGGGGGGCAGGGCAGTAAACAGCACCCCTCCATGGCCTCTGCATCAGTTCCTACCTCCAAGTTCCTGCCCTGTGTGAGTTCCTGTCCTGACTTCCTTCAGTGATGGACTACAGTGTGAGCCAAATAAATTCTTTCTCCCAATTTGCTTTTGGTTATGGTATTTCATTATAGCAGTAGTAATCCTAAGTAGGATGGTTGTGAAGATAATGTGGTGTTAAAAGATTCCATAGCCTTCTATTGCAGTTACACTCCTCTGAGTCTTGATAAAACTGACAGTTTGATCACTGTTGCTTTTGCAAATAGGTGCAAGTAGGAACACAGGGAAGACAGCAAAGAATGATCCACCAGTGTAGTGGTTCTCACTGTGTGACAAGACCCTCTTCCAAAGTGTTGACTGATCCTCAGAAAGATACTTACATTACAATTCATAATCATAGCAAAATTACAGCTATGAAGTAGCAATGAAAGTTTTATGGTTGGGGGGATCACTACAACATGAGAAATTTTACTAAGGGGTTGCAGCATTAGGAAGGTTGAGAACCACTGATCTAGGAGTTTGTAGCTAGTAGAAAAGTTGAAGGCTAACTAAAGGCAGTGACCTGCTGGCCGTCAGAAGCAAGGGCTGTTTAGAAGCCTTTGTTGCTTTGTGTCATTAAGGAATATCCTTTAATAATGATTGGAAAAAACAAATTAAACCCTACAAAGCTGCTAACTTTCCTGGGCTGCTCTTGAGTTTCATTTTTGAGAAAGCTTGTTCAAACCAAGTTTTCAATAGGGGAATGTACCACATTGAGGGCCCAGCGTTTTAGAAAGGAGAGTGCAATGCCATCGGTAGGTTTAATGTGATAGTATGTGGCAGATGACGCCTCCTGTTATGTTTTCTTAATTTCATATTCATTTACTACGTGAATTTTACCAGTTATTACAGTCAGTGGCTTCATGAGATGTAATGTAAACACTAGTCTTTAGTTTCAGGAACAGCACTTCTTTGTTAGAACTTTTATTTGCTACTTAAAAAAAATATATATATATATTTATATCCTCTTTTTTTGTCATTGTCGTTTTACAGGGTTGTAAGAGTCCATCCAGGACCTTCAAGTCATGAATAATCTGATGGTTCCTGAATTAACTGGGAAAACAAACATATCAAATGACATTTGAAGAGTGTTGTCTATATATGTAAAACCTTTTCTCTACATAGAAACTTTTCCATAAGAAGACATTCTGAACATCAAGAGCTTTGCAACAGATGAAAATTAATCCAAGCATCAGATGGAACAACTTTATACTGTTGGGGTCAGGAGTCTGTGGAGACCAGTCTATCACTAATGGCAGACTAATTTCCTTACGGTGTTCATGAGTAAAAAAAAGTTTGCAGAAGAGAAAATTGCACAGATTAAGCCTAAAGAATACCTCTCCAGTGTAAAGAAGGAACAGATGTTAAAACTCTGGATTGAAACTCAGTAATTTTTCCTGTGGTTGAGGCCGGAGTGAGGGACAGATCTGAAAAGGAACGGATTCCTTTGTGTCTTCAGCTGTTTGAAGTTTTTTATTTATTATCTTTTTTCCTTTCTGCATATATATGCTATTTTAAAATATTAATTGGAACTGTCAGTTACAAAATATCAAGAAAAGCCTTTCTTGGTCTAACGATGTGAACAGGCTTGAATGTGAACAGAACAGGAAAGTATCTTTTAACAAAGCCTAGGGCCGGTCTTGAGAGATGGTACAGCCTGAAGAACTCTGATACACACCTGAGTGGATGGTTTAAAGATTTGCGTATGAGAAGAAGATTATTTAATGGACATAATTCTAAGATTGTTTTTTTTTTCATTAAGATAGAAGAATACATGATCTTTATGAGTGAAAAGCAGAGAAGCAAGATAAAGGAGAAACAGAATCCTGCAGCCTCTCTGTAAGCAAGGAATAGGACCAAACTAAGGAAGTACTTGGTCCATTTAGGTAGCAGTTTATTCATACATGGTGACCGCTGACCTCCACCTCTGCTGAGAGAAGGGGCTTCGCTCCAGTCTCTATGGCACCGAGGGAGTCTCGGCCTGTGGAGGAGTCACTCTAGGGAACCTCGTGTTCCTAGGGACACAGGGCCAGTCTTTGAGACAGGAGGCCTCTGGCTGTGAACAGTGGGGGACATTTTAAGTGCTGTCCACATGAGCTCTGGTTTGACTTTGCACGTCAGTGTGCCTTTCCCCTTATACAACCTTTGTCAGCTGTGGAGCAGAAACTTGCCTAGTTCAGAAAACGTGCCAGAAGGTGGCTTCAGAGGGAAGATGATATTGTGTGATCATTCTCTGCATTTGAACTGTTGAATAGAGAAACCCAGCTAGAGGGATTCTTACTGCCTTAAGTTACTTGAAGTCTATGTGTTTGTAACCCTTTATCTCTGGAATCACATTACAAAAACAAAAAACAAAAAACAAACAAACAAAAAAAAACAACTGGAAGCTCAGGCTGAGAATAACAAGGCTGAGTAAAATTGAAGAGAACTGATTCTCCATCATCACTTACTAACAGCTCTTTCTCAAAAGGATTGGCATGTTTTCCCTGTAAGAACTTGAAAATGAGAACGGATCCCATGTATTTTTAGGCATATCCTTTTAGAAGACTGACATCTGTTATAGAGGAGTTTTTCACTATGCGGGTGGTAGGTCTTTATAAGCTATTGACCTAACTGGTCAATAGTTGTAACTAAAGGAGAAAAAAAAAACCCAACAGAACCCAACCGCCAAAATAAGCCAATAAAAGAACTTGGTTTGAAATTCTTCAGTACTTTTAGAGTGAAATACTTCATCGAAAAATTATGTATGCAGCAGTGGAACATGGGCCTGTGCTTTGCAGCGATTCCAACATCCTCTGCCTGTCCTGGAAGGGGCGTGTCCCCAAGAGTGAGAAGGAGAAGCCTGTGTGCAGAAGGCGCTACTATGAAGAAGGATGGTTGGCCACAGGCAATGGGCGAGGTGTGGTGGGGGTGACTTTCACCTCAAGTCACTGTCGCAGAGATAGGAGTACGCCACAGAGAATAAACTTCAACCTGCGAGGCCACAACAGTGAGGTGAGCTCTGACTCTGTTTGCATTTTCTGTGATCTCTTCTAGTGTTCTTCTTGGGCCTCTTCCCTGGCCCCCAACTTTATAGCAGTTCTTTAGAGTTGGTGGTAGTGAGACTTGGCACTGTGAATTCTGTGTCCTGTGTGCTGCCAAGAAAGATACTAAAGTGGGCACGGTTCACAGTGCCCTGTCCTTTCACAAGTAAGTCATTCGTTCCCTCTTTCCATTTTCCTCTCTCTTCCTGAGAGTTGCTGTTGCCTCTCTGAAGGGCACAGATGTTTGGGTGATGCCCAGTGTGGGATAGGTGCAGGGCTTTCTGACTAGGGTGGGAGAATCATACTAGCTAACCCTAACTTGCTTTTTAGTTTTCTGGTTTCCATGATGAAGAAGTGTGTGTTCTATTCCATCCCTGTGGCTCAGTGTGAGACTCAGAGTGATGCTGCCTTCGCCTCAGTATTCAGTCAGTGTGTTTCTGGGCTGATGGCTTAACACTTAGCCTGTATTTTGGAAGTAAAAGAATTCATTAATTTGACATGACCCATGTTATTTTTCCATTGTGTAGGCTCTATTGTAATATTTTGTGTGTTCTATACAAAATCTATACATAGAGTCTCTGGTCTACTAAAACCCCAAAGAGACATTATATGTGAATTTTATTCTACTGTTTATTGAGGAATGCTTAAGTGCTAACTTCTGCCTTTAAAAGAAGATGGTAACTGATAGTTTCTTGTTAAGTGTTTATTTGTATAACATCATGATAATATGCTTCATTGTTCATTAGCTTATTGAGCTTATTTAGATGTCCCTTGGTGTAGTGTCCCTCAGGTCTTTGATGGAGGAGCTACTGTACTTCAGTAAGGAATACCCTCACTGAAGGCCAGCCCATGTTCTTCATGATATACTTGGTCAGATGTCTTTTACTCAGTATAATCTCTGAGGTTCATCCCTGTTGTATACATTGTTAGACTGTTCTTTTAAACTGGTGTTATTTTCCATTGCTATAAGTACACACTTTGTTCATTCTGTTGATGAACATTTGGATTTCGGATTTCTTCCAGTTTTTGGCTCTTATAACTGCTGTGAACATTCACGTACAGTGCATAACTTTTGGTAGAGCTGTGCACTCAGAGAGTGGAATGTCTGAGTCATAGTGTTGGCATGTGTTTAAAAGCAGTAATTGCCAAATAGTTTTCCAACATGGTGATGCCGTTTTATACTCCACCATCAGAGGAGGGACATTTCAGTTGGGAAGCCAGGTTGAGATTCTGCTTCTCAGTGTGAGTTCAATTTATGTAGAACTTTCTTGTGAGTTTGAACTTTTCTTACTAAAAATACAATTTCAGGAATTTTATATATATATATATATATATATATATATATATATATATATATATATGTATAATATTTTTATTCTTGGAGATTTTATACAATGTACTTTGATGAAGAATTATATTTTACAGATACTTTCAAACTTACTACAGTGGGGACACAAAACACATGTCTTACAGAAGCATAATTTGGTTACTGTCTTAAAAGATGTGCAATAAGACCAGCATGACTCTTCTCACACAGTGTAGTCTGCTTGTACAGATCTCAGTCTGGGGAACATGGTGTATTCATGCGGGTTGTTGGGGTTGTAGGACAAGGCTTTTGGGTCCTGTATCAGCAGGTTTTGTGTGTCCGCTTGACTCAAGCTAGAGGCATCAGAGAGAAAGGAGCCTCAGTTGAGAAAATACCTCTTTGAGACCCAGCCTTGTGGGACTGAGCAACTACTACATTCTAGGTTTAATATAGAAGCTTGCACAACTGAAAAAAAAAGGTGTCAAAAATTTGTTTACTAAAAGATGGCCTAACTGAAAAGGAGTTGGGGATACCCAACATCCCTTGGCTTAGTGTTGATAAAGGGATTTTTAAGGCTCAAGGAACTTGGCTAGATTGGGTATGCTGTGTAAAACCTAATCCTCCACAATGGGAAGGCCCAGAAGACATGCCCTTCATGCATCCTGTAAGAGACAAACTGATGAGAAGGGTACCAGCACATGTGAAGAGTTTTGTTGTCCTTTTCCTTGTGCCAGGCCTTAGGGTTGGAGATGCTGCTGCTCTGCTGGATGAATTAAATGCAGTGTGTTTAATTGGGCCCTGAAGTAGCAGGGGCCAGGTGTCAGCACTGAGTCCACAGAGGCAAGGTGATCGAAGCTATTATAATGGGCAGTATAGACCAAGCAATGTTCATAATAGCCTAACCCATAATGGTCAACACAGGCAAAATGAATTTTATTGTGGTATGATTTGAATGGACCTTTGGTGCTGGCTAATAAGTCATGGTGTTTCCACACATGAAGTAGATGAGAAGCCTACTGCATTTTTGTTTGATCTGTATAAGCATAAAAATTCTCAAACAAATGAAGGAAAGACTACATTGGATTATGACAAAAGGCAATCTTGCCCAATGAATTCATTTCCAGACTTGAGCCAATATGCAGACTCAGAACCCTCGGAAATAAAGGGGCTGCCAAATTCCCCTGGGGAAGGATCTTGATAAGACACCTAGTTCTACTGTTAGCCTCTCTCCAATTCTTCCCCAGAGGGAGGAACTTTTTTTTCTCTGGCCTTTTACAAGGGTAACTGTACACTGGGGGAAGGAAATAACCAGACTTCCCAGGATCTTTTGAATACTGGTTCTGAATAGATGGTGAGTCCAAGAGATTCTAAGAAACACTGTGGTCTGCAGGTAGAGTAGAGGTTTATGGGGGCCAGGTGATGAGCGGAGTTTGCCTGATGTTCAGCTCACAGTAGGTCCCCCAACTAATTCTGTGGCTAATTCCCCATTTCCAGAATGTATTGGGATAGATATACTTAGAAGTTGGTAGGATTCTCACTTTGGTTCCCTGACCTGTGGAGTGAGGGCTATTACGGTTTGAAAGACTAAATGAAAACCTTTAGAGTTGCCTCTGCCAAAGAAAATAGTGAATGAAAACCAGTATGGTATCCATGGAGGAACTGCAGAAATCAGTGCCACCCTCAAGGACTTGAAAGATGCAGTGGTCCCCACTACATCTCCCTTTGACTCTCCTGTCCTGCCAGTGCAGCAGACAGATGGATGGTGGAGGACGACAGCTGACTATTGAAAACTCAGTCAGGTAGTGACACTGATTGCAGCTGCTGTGCCAGATGGAGAGTCCTTCCTTGAGCAGATTAACATATTTCCTGGTATGCAGCTATTGATTTAGCAAATGCCTTTTTCCCCATACCTGTTCATCAAGGACCACCAGAAGCAATTTGCTTTCAGCTGGCAAGACCAGCAGTATACCTTTACAGTTTTACCTCTGGGATATATTAACTCACCTGTCTTGTGTCATAACTGAGTTAGACGGGATTGTCTTTCTCTTGTACAAAATATCACACTGGTGCACTATACTGATGACATTGTGGTGATTGGACCAAGTGAGCAGGAGGTGGCAACCACTTTGGACTCATTAGTAACACATATAGACATTAGAGGATGGGAAATAACTCCAACCAAAAATTCAAAGGCCACCTACCTCAGTGAAATTCTTAGGATTTCAGTACTTTGGGTCATGCAGAGTTACTCCTTCTAAGGTGAAGGGTAAGTTATTGTACCTGGCCCTTCCGACCACCAAGACACCAGATTTACTGGATCTGTTTGGATTCTGTTCCCCACTTGGACTTGGGCATGTTACACCTGCCTGTACACCAAGTGACTGGGAAACTGCTAGCTTAATGTGGGGCCTGGCACAGGGGACGGCTCGTCAACAAGTCCAGGCTGCTGTGCAGGCTGCTCTGTCACTTGGACCATAGGATCCATCTGTAAGGCGTTTTCTCAACTGGTGATTTGTGGGTAGTACCATCTTGGGTTGGTAGCTCTGGGTTCTGTAAGAAAGCAGGCTGAGCAAGCCATGAGAAGCAAGTCAGTAAGCATCACTTCTCCATGGCCTCTGCAGCAGCTCCTGCCTCCTGGTTTCTACCCTGTGTGAGTTCCTGTCCTGATTTCCTTCAGTAGTGAACAGCAATATCGAAGTGTAAACTCTTTCCTCCCCAGCTTGCTCTTTGGTCATGGTGTTTCATCGCAGCAACAGAAACCCTAACTAATTCAAGTTGATGCTCGCATAATGGGGTATTGCTGTGACAGACCTGTCCATATTTTTGGAAGGATCGTGGAAGGACTTTGGAACTTTGAGCTAGAAAAGCCACTGAGTGGTGAGCTTCATTGGAATGTTCTTGGGGAGCTACAAAAATAAGAATGTTGAAAGTAGTGCAGAAGATAGAGGCCCAGCTTGTGAAGTTCTAGAGGGAAATTTAAAGACTATCAGGGCTGTTTGCTATTTTGAATTAAGATTCTGTCATTCTGGTCAGCTGGGGCTGGAGAGTTAGCTGTGATGCAGAAGAGAACAGCATCATTGAAGAAAAACCATCATGTTACTGGGACAATTGATGCTGATAAGCTGGGGCTGAGACATTTGTGGTGATTAAAAAGAGACCAGCATCACTGAGGTGAAATCTTCTGAGAAGTGTTTCCTGAAAGCACAGAGAAGCTGTGTTCCAGAGATGACCAAAGTTGTACCTTATGCTGGCAGCCGGACTTGGTAATATGTAAGAGTCACCCACGTGATACTGGTTTGAAGGCATGAAGGGGTCATGGAGCACATCTGAGACTTGACACTGTGAGAGGCCAGGAGAAGCCATTGGTGAAGGTACAGTGTTAGTGGCAGTTAATAGCCCAGAACTGAGGGGGATCACACCGAGCATTGTAGCTTGGCACCATGAAGGGAGCTGTGAGAGACAGTTGGTGAAAGTGCGGCCCAGTGCAGAAGACCCCAGCACATTGGAGATGCCAGTACTCTGAGATGACCACCAAGACCAGTAGCAGTGGAGTGGAGGTAGCTGGAGCCGAGAAGATGCTGCAGAAGACAGAGCTGGAGAAATGACCCAAGCCTTTTGGAAGAGTCCAGAAGATTGTGAGTGGATTCCAGACGTTAGATGGTTGG